TAAAGCTAAAGAGGAGTTAGTTTTGTGCTCTACAGTTTATGCACTTTTATTATTGTATTTTCTCTGCAAACAATTAATGGCAAGTGCTGCTTTTTGGTATTTTGCTTGTGTGAGGCATAAAATCATAGGAGAGTTTTTAAAAACCAAGTCAAATAATAGCACTACTAGAGACAGTGGTAGGAGGTGGTGCCCGATACACTGTGAATATCAGGGATGACGTTGTATTCTCTTCCAGGAAATGAAAGAGAGCACAACATGTAATTTATTTTCAGAAATGATTCTCAGAGGCATGTAAGTGCAAAGGCACATATCTTTTGTCAAAACCCCAGGACTTCTCTGTGCTAGTTTACTATCAGACACTAGCCTGAGAAAAAGGAAGGAGCCGAAAGGTAAGTGACGTAAAGATAGTGTGTGTGCCATGTTGTGTCCTGTGCTCCTCCAAGGATGAGAGCCAAAAGAGGAGAACACTTAGCATTCAGACCTCTGAATTTGGTGATTTTCTTGGAGAAATCTTTTCTCTATAAAATGCGTTTCAAGACCTGTTTTGAGTGCATCTGTTTAGGGCCTGCCAAAAATAGTGATAATTGCAGGAGTGCCAATGGACAGATCAAGTCTCTGTTTAGAGCTTCTAGCAATGGCTTAAGATGGGATGGGAGATCAGGCAGGTCATATCTTGACATAGGGCTTTTCTCCATCTTTCTTCAGTGTGGACCATATTAGCCAAGCTTCAAACAGCATTGATAAATGCCAAACACATTTTTTGCAGCTGTGTGAGAAAGCTGCCCAGAGGGGCTATTTATCACTCTTACCCACTTTGACCCAATCAGGCCCCCGTTACTTGTATAGACAATTGATCAGGAGAGGATAATTCTTTACAGCTTTTCTTGAAAGGAAGAGTTAATCATTTATCGTCAAACTTGTTCTTTATGGCTGTTTACAGTTCTCCTGCTAATGACAGTAGGAACATGTGGGGCCCCAGGAAGTACCAAGACTGAGAATACTGTGAGAAATGCTACTGTGGTGAGTGTGAGAGCCTTAAACACGTAGTAGTGTATAGCACTGTTTGATTTATGAAGTCTTGGTCTTTAAAACTAGTATTAATTATAAGCTTCAGCACTGAGTTCAGGTAGGACAATCAGTGTCCTTGGGTCCAAAGTAGGAGATTTCAGTGGTGGGGAAGATCCAGGGTGGGTTTTAAGACAATTCCAAGAACATATCCCAGCTAACATCATTTTGGAAGTATGTGTTGTGAACTTTTCCTTGCTACTGTTGACTTTAAGACAATGAAAGTTTGGATGAAAGTGTATTTATATAAATCACCTGGACATTTTCTTTATGCTTATATAAGTGGGCTATATAAGTTCTAATGCTCTGCCCATTTGCTCTGTGTAAAAATAATTTTAATCATTAAAGCAGCCTTTATCTTAAATTGTTTAAGCTTCTTGTGCAAACTACTGGAGTACAGACCTGAAACAGATCACAGAATCATCTAGTTTAGAAGAGACCTCCAAGATGATCGAGTCCAACCTCTGACCTAACACTAACCAGTCCTCCGCTAAACCATATCACAAAGCTCTACATCTAAACATCTTTTAAAGACCTCCAGGGATGGTGACTGAACAGCTTCCCTGGGCAGCCCATTCCAATGTCTAACAACCCTTTTAGTAAAGAAGTTCTTCCTAATATCCAACCTAAACCTCCCCTGGCACAATTTTAGCCCATTCCCCCTCGTCCTGTTGCCAGGCACATGGCAGAATAGACCAACCCCCACCTCGCTACAGCCTCCTTTAATGTACTTAATAGAGAGCAATAAGGTCGCCCCTGAGCCTCCGCTTCTCCAGGCTGAACAATCCCAGCTCCCTCAGCCGCTCCTCGTAAGACTTGTTCTCCAGACCCCTCATCAGCTTTGTTGCCCTTCTCTGGGCTCTCTTGAGCACCTCGATGTCCTTCTTGTAGCAAGGGGCCCAAAACTGAACACAGTACTCGAGGTGCTGGGGGACTCTACTGGTCTCACAGTACTAGAGGCCTGGGGGACTCTACTGGTGAGTGGCCTCCATCTGGATTTGACTTCATTCACCACAACTCTTTGGGCCCAGCTACCCAGCCAGTTTCTAACCCAACGAAGTGTATGAGAGTCTGCCAAGAGCAGCCAGTTTCTTGAAGAGAATGTTGTTGGAAACAGTGTCAAAAGCCTTACTGAAGTCAAGATAGACCACATCCACAGCCTTTCCCTCATCCACTAAGCGCGTCACTTTGTCATAGAAGGAGATCAGGTTCGTCAAGCAGGACCTGCCTTTCCTAAACCTATGCTGATGGGACCTGATCACCTGGCTGCCCTGTAAGTGCCACGTGATGACACTCAAGTTAATCTGCTCCATGAACTTGCCTGGCACTGAGGTCAAACTGACAGACCTATAGTTCCCTGGGTCTACCCTCCGTCCCTTCTTGTAGATGGGTGTCATGTTTGCTAGCTGGAAGTTGACTGGGACCTCCCCTGATAGCCAGGACTGCTGATAACTGATGGAAAGTGGCTTGGCCAGTTCTTCTGCTAGTTCTCTCAGTACCCTTGGGTGGATCCCATTTGGCCCCATCGAATTGGATACATCTAAGTGCTGTAGCAGGTCACCAACCATTTCCTCATGGATTGTGAGGGCCACATCCTGCTCACCATCCCCTTCCACCAGCTTAGGGTGTCTAGAGAACAACTGGTTTTGATGCTAAAGACTGAGGCAAAGAAGGCATTAAGCACCTCAGCCTTTTCATCATCTTTTGTAACTAAATTTCCACCTACATCCGGTAAAGGATGGAGATTCTCCTTAGTCTTCCTTTTTGTGTTAATGTATTTATAAAAACGTTTTCTTTTATCTTTAACAACAATAGCCAGACTGAGCTCCAGATGAACTTTGGGCTTTCTAATTTTGTCTCTACACAGTCTTACAACATCCTTATAATCCTTCTGAGGATCCTGCTCTCTTTTCCAAAGATCAGATCCTCTCTTTTTTTCTCCTAAGCTCAAGCCACAACTCTTTGTTCAGCCAGGCCACTCTACCACTCAATCTCATCTTTGGGCACGTGGGGACAGACCGCTCCTGAGCCATTAAGCTTTCCTTCTTGACGAGTGCCCAGACTTCCTGGACTCCTCTGTCCATCAGGACTGCCTCCCAAGGGGCTCTGCCAACCAGTGTCCTGAACAGTTCAAAGTCAGCCCTCCAGAAGTCCAAGACAGCTGTTTTACTGGTCCCCCTCCTGACTTTGCCAAGAATAGAGAACTCTACTGTTTTGTGGTCACTCTGTCCAAGACAGCTTCCAACCACCACATCTCCCACCAGTCCTTCTCTGTGAACCAAAGGTCTAGCGGGGCACCACCCCTGGTAGGCTCACTAACCAGCTGCATCAGGAAGCTATCTTCCATGCTCTCCAGAAACCTCCTAGACTGCTTTCTCTGGGCTGTGTTGCGCTTCCAGGATATGTCTGAGAAGTTGAAGTCCCCCACAAGGAACTCCCCTCAGGATGTGTCTGGTGTCCCATATCCATCTTTACTATAAAATGCTTCATTTCACATGAGTCTTCTATGCCATGTTCATCACTGAGATGAGCAAATGGATTTAATCTGTCTTTTCTGGTAGATCTCAACCTTTTTTTTTTTTGTAAAGTCATCTTGTTGCAAGTTTTAAATACACCACCATACTCAAAAGGTAAACTAGTCCCCTGGATTAGAGCACATGGTCACATTGACCTAACTGAGCTGCATCAGGGAAGAATATGGCCCACAGGACACTTTAAAAACAAACAAACAAAAAAACAACATGGGTATTTTCACATACTGTTTAAATAAAATTTAGATTGCATCATACTTTATTACACAGTGGAAAATAAATTTGCTGATTGTCTCTGCTACTTGTAAGCATAATTCATCTTTCTGATTTGTAAACTGCACATATTAACTCAGATGTAATGCATTTGGGGTTTTTATGGTTACCAAAACCAAGTCCTAACAGTCTTAATCTGAGGTAGGTCTTGGTCAGCTCTTTGAAAAGATTGTGAGTGTAGGCTGTATGGCTGTAGAGCATTTTAAAGCAAGTTTTAGGTTAATAAGCTTAAAATTATTTTGATATCAGTTCAGGAAGAAAGGAAGAATGTTTCAACTTCCTGTTCCTTGTATTTTCTCACCTTTTGGTTTGTCAAGAGTTTAAAATATTAAACTTTCAGTTTGGAAGGTTACTATACTGAACACAATAAAAGAGAGAAAGATAAAGAGAGAAAGCTAGGGAGGGCTTGAGGGGAAGGAGTGTCAGAGACAAGGGAGAACAGAAGACATGGTGAAAGACATGGAAGTCATGATATTAAAGACAGAAGTATGTGCTATATTTACCAGAAGAAATTATAGGAACCTGAGTGAGAAATCCCACCTATTAGTGATGGGAAGAAATCAGTAGCTGCCACAGTGCAAGCTGACTTGGAGGTCAGACATTAATTGTCTGACGGTCTTCACAATCCTATTTTGTGAGAGAATTAGTATACGTTCTTTTTTCTATCTGTGCAATTGCAGTGAAGTCAACATCCAATTTCATTGCCTGAGAGTGCCATTCCTTTAAAAATGTGTTTTAACAGTCAAAATACATGTATACAGGATTGGCTTATTTATGCCAAATCCAGTCACTAGAGAAATTCTCCAAACACTGTGTTGTTAGCATTGAAATATAGCCAGGTAATTCCAAATAAAAAATAAATAAATACGGAGACGAGGTTGGTAGGGAAAAGTAATTGAAAACTTGTTCTTAATGATGTGGATCTCAAAAGATCAGGCAAGTGTACGGGCATGCACGCTTTACTAGCAAGGATTGTCTTTCATCCCCCCTCCCTAATTATAGCAGTTGCCTTTATAAAATATATAATTTATCTCAAAGTTTTTTATTGACCTATGATGGAGTAAGGATGCAATTCAGAGCAATAAGTTTAAAAAAAAACACAAAAAAACTATTGAAGAATGAAGAGGAAGATGCCTTTGAATAAATCTTTCTTTAATAGTTTTTAGAAATTCATTCTAATACAAGTGATCAAGGACATAATTGGCAATGTATTTAACAGCAAGCAAAGTCTCCTCACAGGTTGGCTTTATCTGAGATTCAGGGAGAAGAAAGCCATAATAGCCAGTGTCTCGGAGCTCAAAAGTGAAAGAGTACTTGATGCCTTGATCATAAGCCCAGTCATCAGAGCCCCCTGCAGCAGGATCTGATAAAAAGAATAAATAAAATATAATTGAAAAAGTGGAAATGTCAAGTCACAAAGCTAGAAATATAGACTAAAGTGATAAAAAAGTATATTTTGCGAATTGATTAACTTCTCTTTCTCGTGGCAAGACTTCTTTGATTTAGGCCATTTGTGAGCTCCGTTTCAGCTGATGTGTACATGGAAATCTTAACCAGTTATCCTGTTCCCTCCTTATCAATACGGTGGGCATGCCATGGTGTCTAGGGAGCAGGAGAATAGCATGCTTCTATAGGGCTGTTTAGAAAGATTTGATAGCAGAAACAAGTAGTTTTTGCAAAAGAGAAATCACTTTTGAGATTCATACAGATCTGAAAGAACCACAGATCTGGGATATTAGTTGGATCCTTTTCTTCTGGAAGAATAGTACATTACCATTCTAGTACTTTGGTACAGTGAAAGTAGTCTCTTTTTCTTTTCCTAAGGAAGGAGCTTCCAAAATTGCTAAGCATCACTAAAATAGATTTAAAGGAAAAAATGTCCATATATATTTTTTTTAAAGGGGGTTACTTTTCAAAGGTTTTAAAAGTTTTTTTTATTTAAGAAAAGTAAGATTAGGAAGAGATCAGTTTCTGTACTTAAGGCAATTAAGAGCTCTTAAATATTGATGTATACAAGTTCTAGAAATCTAGAACTGGCCACAGATCATCTTCTGACACAGCTAAGGCTATGTACTGACAGCTGAGTTCCCAAGGAGTATAAAAGAATGGAATTATAGCTGGTACATTCTTCAGACCATAATGCAAAGGTAAAGAAATAATTAAAGGTGTTGGTAAAGTGGTTGAACTATTCTTTAGCATTCAAATAATTTTTTACTTTGACTTAAAGATGCTGGAAATATAGAAAAATTCAGGGTCAGATTTTATATTTAAATCTAAACTGGGCAGATTTTGGGAATTCATGCTACGCACATGAATTCCTGAACACATTATCACATCTGTTTACCTTCCTGGGGCCACACACTCCCTGGCATCCTTACGGCATATATTGTTCCCTATTTTAGACATAAGCGATTGCATATATACCTCTGGGAATATGCTTGTGAGGAAGGAAGTTGAATGCTTATCAAGAGGAACAAAAGTCACTAAAAAACTGCATTTCAGAGTCTGACTAGCACTTAGTGTAGTTGGTAAGTTTAGGCCAGTACTCACAGATTGTTGTAGCTCCTGGGCCGTATGTATATTCAGTATTGTACAAAGTGGCCAGCTGTTTGGCTGCAGCACTAGCGATGGAATTCTGTAGGGGAAGAAGTATAAATGCAGATTTGTAGAAGCTTTTTGAGTGAATCTAAGTAAATGCACTGTTAAATAATCTGAAAAGCAGTGTTTGGAAAGTTTTTATTTGTGAACTCTTGTGTACCTTTGAAAATTATTAGGTGTCAGTAGCTGCCAATGCACAGCTTGTCAGTATTGAGCTTGTTCTTCAAGATCTAATGGTTTGTAGTCTGGAGTATAGTCCGGTTTGTGTATAGCTCTCTTGGTGTATAGCCTGCTATATAGATTGGCTAGGTAAGGGACAATCGCTAACAATACCTTCTACACTGAGAAGAAACTTGTACAAGATTAAAACTAAATAACCTTGCACAGTAAATTGTGAACGCACAATAACCTTTCTTTTCCTTCTGTTCATGGAGCTATAAATTCAGAGTAGAGCCAGTTTAGTCAGTGAAGTTGAACACTCCTGTAAGTGGAAGCAGATTAAAGTCTTATAAATATTAACAGCCAGAAAAGGCATAAATTACCTTGGAACCATATGTAGTCTCATTAATTTCAATTCATTTCCTGTGCACAGAAGGACTCATTCAACTCCCACTGATTTCAGTGAGGGTTGGATCAGGCCCATCAATAGCACTGTGAAGCTTTGTATATTTGCATTAAGGAAAATTACAGGCTTTTCTTTGGAACGTGTGACTTTTCCAGTTCTTCATTATACAGCATGTTGGTAATAAAACATGAAAACTATTACTAGCAGATGATAAATATGAGTGATTTTTGAAAACAGATGTGCAGTATAAGAATAAGCGATGGGTTGCCATATTTTCTTTATAGCTTACAGCTGAACAGCTTACTATTCCAGGAATTTCCTCAAGCCCTTTCTTTCTCTGTAGGTTATACTCTGGCTTACTTCCCAGTGGAAGAGAGATTGTATAATACATGTATTCTATGTTCATCCTTATGCTTCAAGTATTCCTGTGAATTACTCAAAATTGCACATTGGACAATGCGTTTGGAAAAATCTTAGTTTAGTGAGAGACCTTTCTTAGCTTCTACAAAACAGCATCAAAATGTGTTTGCTTTACTACAAACACAGCTGCCTAGTCTAGCACAGGGTTGCAAGTGTTTCTCCACTCCCAGGTGCTGGATTTTAAACATCCCAGAACTGTAGGAGTTTACTATAGAAATCTGTGGTCATTTTATTGTATAAAGAATATTTAAGCAAAGTAGGCCAAAGAGTATTTGAAGCTTGTCCTTCCATATATAAAACTGTCTGTACCTGAATGTGAGGTTTTGTTTCTGGCCTCTGTTATCAAAACACAACCTATTGTAGATATAATGTTGCTTTGCATTTAACAGTCTGGGATTCATAACAACTGGGGTAGCTGAGCTCTCTCCAGTGTGATTTTGTTGTTGTTGTTTGTATGGTTTTGTTTTGTTTTGTTCTAAAGTCCCCTGAAACTGACTCTTTTTTTAATTCATAATCATTTTAACACTTGTTGAGGAAATTGTAGAGGTTGGAGAGTAGTATTTTCTAGTGATATCATTTTTTTCAGGCTTCTTTTTTATTTTTATAATACGTACATTTAATCAGCAGCTGAGATTGAGTTAAATTTGCCAATAGTAAACATGTAATAGTAAATGTAAACTGATTCTTATTCTTTCCAAAAAAGAAAAAAAAAAAAGTGAAAACAAAATTTGGAAAGATAGTTTTATCCTATGTATGGACCTGATGGTAATTAATATTTGCTCCCTCTTTAGAAAAATGCATTGTAGGGGCAACAAAAGAGCAAAGCTGCTGTAATGAAAGAGTGGGGCATACCTTTCACTCTGTCAAATGATTGCGTCAAGTCATACCAGCACAGATATGCAAAAAGTATGTCAGGAAATCTTTTTACCCAAGGGATATTTTATTATTAGCCTGGAAGTTGTAAAAAGAGAGATTTGTAGAAAGAGCAGTTGGGGTTTTCAGCTGTATGGAGACTGGAATTCAGATAAACAACTTCCTTAAATTCCCCAGGTTGTATTTTCCCAAGGTGGTATTTTAAATGACCCTCTTCATTAGCTGAAGAACATGACTGAGCATTTATGACTTCAACATGAAATGAATCTTTGTCAGAAGTTTTGATATCTGATTTTTTTTCTTTGTTAAGCTACTCTGTCTCTGTTGCTGTCCTAATAGATTTATAGTCCAAAATCCGAAGGTCAAAACAAAATTCAAGTTTGTAGGAACTAAAGTCACCTCTTTCTTGTGATATAGAAAACAGGAATAATAAAAATGAAGTAGATTCTCGTGGGTCTAAATATAAAATAAGAGGAAAAAAAAATAAAAAAAAAAAAGTATTCAAAACCATCTGTAAAGAGGAACTAACTCAGTGACTTATACAGAGCTATATAAATAATAGGCAACATTTCATGCTAGTGTGTTATTTGCACAGCTACAAAGAGAGGCATGTCTGTCTTTTTGTCCTTTGAGAATACTCTTTACTATTGACTGATTTTCAAAATTTATTTCTATAACTAGCTTAACTCAATTGTTGTGGTTTGTTTGTTTTCTTGACTGTCAAGAATCTCTCTGTTACAAGGAAAATTCTGCTCAGAGTTATAGTAGCCAAGAAACAACTGGTGCCCAGAAGTCCTCCAAATAACTCCAGATTAATACTTTGTAGCTGCAAGCAGAAAAGGCTCTTCAGCCTCTGACTTGCTGCTGAACTCAGCAGGCAGGTCACCTCAGCAGAGGTAGGATTTCCTGCACTGCCCATCCATCTGTGTTTACACTGCAGCTACGAACATTTACTTCATGAAGGATGTGGCTTACTGGCCTCTCTCTATGGCATCTGGAGTTTTGAACTAACAATGTAATTTATCAGGCTAAGCATCTTCTGCCTGTTAATAGGTAATTTTTTGGAGGAGCAGCTCCTTTATTTTACTCTTCGGGACAGACTTGCCAGCAAACTGACTATTTAGAAACACCTCAGGGATGTTGACTGTGCAGCTGCTGCATGTAGGCAATTCCCTTTGCCATCATAATCTGGTGGTGATCTGGAGACGCCTGTTCATTGACTGTCTGGACCTCTTGCTCTCTTCTCTCACTGGACTGAAAATTGATTTGCCTGAGGCTGAAAACTGTATTTTCCCTTCACTTCTGTCTTGTGTGCTACTTAAGCTTCCCTTAATTTCCTTTGTAATGAGAGGCTGAAAAAGTGGTATTTGCAAAGTTAACTACAGCCAAGTGAAGCTAAAACTTGCGAGGCTTTCTGTTTTGCCAGTAAAAACAGACTCCTCTCAAAGTCCGTGATTGATGTGTAATTTAGTTCACTATTCTGTTGTTGTTGATAGTTAAGCATCTCCCCTAAGAGCCTAGGAAATCCAGCCAAGTGGAGGACTTTAGTATAGTGCTTCTTTTTTCTTTGCAAGCTAGCTCCTCTAAGGCGGTCTTAGACTAAGTAAGAAATCGATCCCTGGTGAGAGGGTTTGCAGTGTGACTGAGTTAAGGTGAACCTGCCATACAACTGGAGGAATCTTGTCTTGGAGCCAGGTTCACACATCAGCTTCATCTCGAAGAAGCTGCTACTAAAAACATCATTTTTACAATAGACTGTTAGTACCAAGTAGTTCTGTTGTGGCAAGCTCAGTGAAAGAGTTTCCAAATTTTGCTTTTCTGCCTGCTTGCATTTTCTGTGCTTCCCAGTTTCTTTACTGAATGTTTACTTGTAACAAGTAGTACAATCGCAGAAGTTTGAAACAGCACATATAAAACAACAGGAGATTTTGCAACTCAAAAATTGTTATGTCTGAATCCCTCAGATGAAAGGATTTTTGATGTTCAAAAATTCCTTACTACAGGTATTCATGTATCTTAAACATTTAAGAATTAAATCAGGAATTAAAAGACTTTGCTCCTAGCCATCAGGTTAAATAATCAGACTAATATTTACAAAGTCATACAATATATTTGAAATTCACTCTTCTTGCATGCTGGATAGACTCTAGGCATATCTCCACCTTCTACTATGTTCTATTTTAAGGGCTTAAGAAGAAACAAAATGGTAGACCAACCCCACATGGAAGACTCATTTCAGTGATCTTAAACAACAACGAATGTGGAAATTCCATGTCTAGAAAATTATATTAATTTGTGAGTTAATATAATAATCTGTAGCCTGCCAAACAGTAATAATACAAATACACTAATCTAACAGAATATGAGCTGGCTGCAGGCATGTATTTGGCCCCTAGTTTGTTGCTCAGCTAAGAGAGAGAATTGAACCTGGAAAGGAAGAGAGAGCATGATGGACATTCCTCTGCTCTATTAGTTCATAGTTCAGAGCCAATGCAAATACAAACATGAACTGATAAAGCTAGATTTGTTTTTGCTGAAAATGAGGAAAGCATTATTCATTATTTATTATTTCTTATAAGGTGACATTATAGGAAACCATGGCCAAAATCTGAACTGATTAAAATATATGGGCTGAAATTTTTATGAAAATTGTGATTAAATGCACAGGTTTTATTACAAGAGGACAAATATGTGAATAGTAAAATCAAGATAAAAAGAATCTTTTTGGGGTGGAGAGAGATCCTGGCCTTGCCAAGCACATTTTTAATTGTGAAGAGCTAATGCTTCTGTTCTCAGCAGGAGATGGATTCAAGCATGTATTCTGTGTGCAGGGTAGCTCTCTGGGGTATAGTAAAGAACGAGACAAGTGAGGATTATGAAGCAAGCAAAATGTGATCCACCAAATCAGAGTACATATTTATTTCAAGGAGTCATCACAGGAATATTGTGTAACTTCTGAGAAATTCTGACCTAGATTTTCCTGTCTTGGGTGTTTGTATTTGTTCAAACATTGTTTGGATAGTGGTGAAAGTTCTGTGTAGCATCCCAGGAGGGAAAAACACAAACAAACAAAACCACCCAACCATAATTGCAGGGAGAAGAACTGGGGGAAAATTCTTGCGTACCATGGGGTTGAGATCTTCAAGCTCCTCCTACCTCTGAGCAGAAGGATGTAAAGGCTTGGGAAGCAATAGACACTTGTGACTTTCATCACCTGTTTTACAGCCTAGTACTGGGGGTGGTTGAAGGATAGTCCTAATCCTCCACTCAAAGCAAGTTGCAATAAATTAGAAGTTGTTCTGATTATCTATAGCAATGAAGGATGAAGCATAAAGGATGTCTGGGACTCACAGAGTGCCGTTTTCTACCTGAGAAATCAAAACCAGAATAGTTTTATGCTTTTTGGTGGTTTCTTGAGGCAGTGAGCAAACAAAGTCTTTTAAGCCCCAAGGATATTGGACGCTGCTCAATACTCTTGCATGAAAGGAAGGTACAAGCCTTCTCTACATCTTTCTCTTCTGTAGGCTTAGTGTTTTCAATCTCAAATGACTCAATTTTTGTGCCATTTGTATCTCAGACATTGGAATGCAGCACAAAGCCCAGTGTATTATGCTACCTTTAATTAAATACAACAGAACATAATGTTATTAATGATAAGCAGACATGAAATTTTGTTTAACCATGTCAAGCTGCTCACTGAAAGAGATAAGAAATTGTAGTTATATTTCCTATAATTTATTACATATGTCAGAGTAAAAATAATATTTAAGATAATATAATGGCACTATAATTTTTGCTTCTTCATTTGACAATTGACTTATGGTCCTCTTATTTGCCTGAACAAATTATATGAAAGGTTGAGAATCTAATTTTTCAGATTTCCCTAAATTCCAAATTTATATAGTAAATTTAGACATGAAATAATGATTGGCATGCAACATAATATCTCTCTTTGTAGGTGTATCATTTTAAGCAAATACAATTGTTGATGGAAAATTCTTAAATTTATTTAGTCACAACTCAGATTAATGTGCTTTAATTATTTGAAGTAGCCTGAAAAGCTGCACTTTTGAACCTGACCCAGAGCTTGTGGAAGTCAGCATTTTAATTCACTGGTGTGGGAGTGAATTGGGATCTTTTTGTTTAATAACCCCAACTATAGGCAAGCTTGATTGGATGATACTCTGATCTTATTCTTCAAAAGGACTTTTGGCAAGAAAAAAATCTTTTTAAAGTAAAATACTACAGAAGCTGAACCTCTCTGGGACCACACTGTCTTTTTGTTGGGATCACCAGTAGAAGAAATGTTTTCCTGTAATTAAGACATGAAAACACCTCAGTGGGTCACCTTGTCATGATGGTGAGGTTCATGATTGCTTTGTAAAGGAAAATAATGGAATGCCATCTGGGATCATTGGGCTCAATATAAAATATAAGGTAAAGTGACAGTGAAAAGACTCACTTATGAAATTAAATCAAATGGTTGAAGAGAAATATACAGTTTGCATTCTTAAGCATTCTTAACTTTTTATGCTGAATAGTAATTGTAGACTCATTCTCTATGGCAGGAAGAGAATTCTTACTGCTCAAAACTGCAGAACGATAGGGTGATTCATTAAATCGTATATTGGAGTAGAGCATTGATAATACAAAATTATAATTTGATAAAAGAATGTGAAAATGTAGAAAAATCACATAAGTTCTTATTGTTAAGGATTGTTTTAATGGATAGGATTTACTATATTTTTTAATACTGGGCTGTTGATGTAAACTTTTTTGATTTAATACTGTGAGAAACATGCTGTACTTTTAGTTATGTTTCATCACATTTGCTCTTGGTTCAAATAGTTGGGCAGAATGTCATACAGTTTTTTAACACATGGGAACTTTGTGATCTTGACAATAAAGCAGCTCAAGGTTTTTATGTTGTTTATTACTTGAGACTGAACTGCAATGTGTGAAATGTGTTCAGTTTTTACTTTTGTAAAAACTGAAGACAAGAAGTTACTTTAGTTTCCTGGAATAATTACAATTAAAACCTTCTGCAAAATAAATTGAGAAGGCAAAATTTTCATGTAGATTTCGTCCTCTCTTTTTAGGCTGTAAAAAAATGCAACAAGAAACTTCACTGTTGGCCCCAGCTTTCATTTGTGCTTTGAAATTATGACATCTACTTGGGAGATCATAAATCTGTCAAGCCTCCACAGCAGACCGGCACACTTGATATTGTTGCCTTGGATGCCTGTTGGCAGCATCCTGAAAAGAGGGGGAATCAAGATTTGTTTGTTTTGTTTTGCTATGCTGCTTTCCCTGCCAACAGCTTCTAGCTGCTATTATGCCAAAGAACTGAGGTAATTTTATTATTCCTGATTGTTGATTATTGGCCTTATAAAATGTTTGCAACTTTTATATAGATTTAATATTTTTAACCTCACTCTTTTTTTTTTTTTCCCTAGATTATACTGCAGACTGTTTTATCTTATGTAAATGGTACTAGGGTGTGTCCTTAATCTTGGATAGATAAAAGAGTTGTTGTAACTTAAAACACAATATTGATCCCCTCTTCTTCCACATAAAAGGTGTGTTTCAGTTGAGGCCTCTTTAGAAAGGCCTCAGAACTGATTTTATTTTTCCAACTGTTCTGTGTGTAACTGTTTTTAGTAACAGTTTTGACAAAAACGTCCTCATTTTTCCCTAGCTATTTCATCCTCATTTCAGACGACTATAAACCATCACTGCCAGGTCCTTCTCTGCCAGGCAGCTTTCCAACCACTCATCACCCAGTGGTTGGGGTTATTGTGCCCCAGGTGCAGGACCCGGCACTTGGCCTTGTTGAACTTCATAGAGGTGACCTCAGCCCATCGGTCCAGCCTATCCAGATCCTCCTGCAGAGCCTTCCTACCCTCAAGCAGATCAACACATGCACCTAACTTGGTGTCATCTGCGAACTTACTGCGGGTGCACTCGATCCCCTCATCCAGATCATCAATAAAGGTTAAAGAAAGCTGGCCCCAGTACTGAGGCCTGGGGAACTCTACTGGTGACTGGCCTCCACCTGGATTTGACTCCATTCACCACAACTCTTTGGGCCCGGCTACTCAGCCAGTTTCTAACCCAACAAAGTGTATGCCTGTCCAAGCCAAGAGCAGCTAAGTGCCTGAAGTCTTACAGACCTAAACAGCGAGTGATTTTTTCTTATTCTTTTCATTATATCAAAATGACAAAGAGCTTCTACTTACCAGTTCCTCATAATTCTCTGGGTATTTGTAAGCATATGAATAAGGAAACAGTAGCAGCTGGGAATAGGAGTGAATAGTCAGATATGCTTTGATTGTAGAAAGATGTTCACGAATAAAATCAGCCAAAGCCTTGGTCTCCTTTTCAGACTCAGGTGCAGAGCCACAGTAAGTGGACTCACAGGGTCTTCTTGAGGCCCCAATACCTGGAAAAAAAATAGTAAATTTAATGAATATTTAACAAAAATGTTGGTTGTTAAGAGAGTGATTCTACACCACTTTCGTAAATATGACTTGGAAATCCTACTGACACACACATATCAGAAGAGAGAATTTCTTCTTGCATAGTTAAGACACTGGAGAACGTGACATAGTATTAAGTAAATATGCTCTGTAGTATGTATTGTGTGCATATGGGAAAAGACATGAGTATTGATGCAAAGCCCTACTTTGTCTAAATGTTTTGGAAATCATTTGCTTCAGTACTTAATCTTTTCCTTGCATATCTCCCTCAGCTCTAAGATGCTTCCGGGAGCCAGTGAGGTGAGAACCACTCAAAAGGCACCCCTCTCCACTGAGTGAAACCAATCAAAATAGAACTATTCTGGCTTCTGTTCTGAACTCTTCTGTTCATGGAAGTAGCCATACTGATGACACTAGTAAACAAGGACTGTTTTTTCCCCATATTGCCCCCAAATTTAATACAAGATATTCTACAGTGCTATATTGGTGATCTTGACTCAAAAATGAGATGGACCAACATGTAGGAGAAAACCTATAATTAAATATTTTGGCTATTGTATTCCTGTATGATTGTTGCAGCAACTGTTAGGAGACACTTACTGCACCAGCCAGCATCAAAATTCCGGTTGGGATCAGTACCAATGCAAAAGCTACCAGAATTTTTAGAGCGTGTCTTTCTCCACATACGGTCCTAAAATAAAATGGTGAAATGCAGATCAAAAGTAAGAAAAGTTTTAACCATTGGCTTAGACAGCCAGATTATTTTTTTTTTTTTTTGAGAAAGAAGAATGTACTTACATTTGTCCAAGTGTAAATGTAACCATCAATATTAAGAACAGGCAAAACATAGAAGTCCAGGTTGTTGAGAAGTCTGGTCATGACATTATCTTTTCCATAGGTCTCAACAGCCTAGTTGGAGAGAGTTAGAAAGAATTGATGTTATCTTTATGGAATGAAAACATCTCCTGTATGCATTTAAATGCCTGGGTCTAGATCAGGAATTAATGTGGTGGGCAAAGTCATGCAGGTCACTGCACCATGTGAAGTGGCAGCTCTGATGTTACATATACCTAGATGATTTAGACTGACTCATACCACACTGCTGTTGGAGAGCCATCTTACTTTGGTGGATAAATTACATGCTAAAGCAGTGTTGATTTTTGAACAGGATAATAAATACCTGGGGAGAGATTACCATCTACTAATTTCTTGTTTAAAGACAGAACAGAGTGCTGGTCCATATATCTTTACTACATCCTGTCAACTTAAAGGTTTGTTTTTATTTTAAATTATTTATTTTCAAATCATTTCCTGTTTTTGGTATCTGTTGTATAGACAAATTTCAGAACTAACAAGAATTAAAAAGCATATTTCAGAGAACATCCTTACACATTTCCAGTCATAATGTCAGGTACATGTATTATTAGGGTGGCACATTTTTTCTTGCACTTTTCCAGTCACATACATTGAATAATGTACATAAGAACATATCCTGATTGCTCATGACCTGGCACTTTGTATGCTTGTTCACAGATTTAAGTCAATGTCAACTGAATTTCCATTAATCATGGAGATTTGCTCTAAGAGGCTTGGTGAGCCCATGATTCCTTTACTCTATACAGGTATAAAGGAAAACATAAGGAGCAATGCAATGGAGAATGGCATCTATTTTCCTGTAACTAGGAAGCAGACAAGTTGGATAGAAAAGCGATATTAGATCACTAGAATTTACCCCCCCTTTTTTTTTTATTGTTATTTGTTTATTGTTTTTTGCCTTTTTTTTTTTTCTTTTCTTTCCTTTTAGATACATATGATAATCTACCTTGCTCATGTTTTTTCTGTAGTTTTTGGCTTTTATGTCTAGAAGCAATCCCAGGTGAACCACTGATGGTTTTCAGAGGACTGTGCTTTTAAAGTGTTCCTACCTATCTACACTTGAATCCACTGTGCAGAGCCTCTGTTGGTGTCAGGCACATCCATGAATTAAGTGATCATCTGGTAAAAATGTCAGCAATTCACATCACTACAGCTGTGAGAAAAATGGTAGCACATAAGGCTGTCTGCAGCCTTTTTGGAAGATAATGAAATAACATTCCCATTGACTCCACTGACATGTCACTTTCAATTTCTACTACTCATTACACAAAACCGCATGGCTGTCTGGGAAGATGGAGATTGTACTTGCCACCAATGTCTTTGCCAGCATGGCTTATTCAAGTACTTTGGCTTTCCTTTATTTGGGTTTTAAATTCCAGCTACTCATTCTGTTTGTTTAGTTTGGTTTTAAATCTTCAAGCAGAAATTGTTACAAAATTTGAGATTCGATCAGTAAGCTGTTCTGATAAGATGATCGATTCCCCGGCCTTCCCCTCCCCACCCGAAGAAGAATGTACCTACTTTCTTTACAGAAGACTGTGCAATGTTTGATAACTCCCACCTGCTTTATATTGGTGATGGTGAGAAGGAAAAGAGATATGAGGTAATTTTTTTCATTTATGGCCTGAAGTGTCCCAGCCTGAAGTGAAGCCAGTTGCACCTGTGAGGCTTTCTTGAATATATTTTAATGTTTTAGAAGCCGTTCTGTGCAACTTAACATGACAGCTCAAAGGGAAATATACACATTTCCCTATTCCTAAGTGGAGTTTAGGGAGCTTAAACTATAATCTTCCTCCTCTTGAGTGCATTCCTCAGTGCATTCTGACTGTGCTTAGCTGAGGGTAGGTTTCCATCATTCCTGTTGTCCTACTGAGAAAGACTGCTTGCAGGGAATCCAGCACCTGGTTCTGGAGAAGGCAGCTGTTTTGACACATTTGGATGCTTTCTGACATGTCCCTGAACTTTCCCTTTTTCCTGTTCGTTATGACTATGTAAAGAACATGACTACATAACTATAGTATTACTAGACTTGTTTACTTGTCTCTCACCTTCCTCTGACTACAGGTACAAAGATGAATTTACAGACTATAAGTAACCTTTTTAGTTGTTACTTACACATGCTCACGTAGTCTTAAGCTGCTCAAAGATTACAGGGCGAGATATTAAGATCTAGTTTAAGTAGTTAAAAATAGTTGCGTTTTGTAAAGCACATTTTGATTGTTAAGCTTACTGACTTCTTTCACAAACCACTGGCAGAAAGCAGGGGAGATCCACTCTCTTGCATGGAAACCACAATCCATAAAGATGGCCTTCTTATTTGTACCACTTTTTCCCAACTATGGATAAAAAACAAGATAAAACAGATTCCAAATGAGATAATTTGTATGTAGAATAAGTCAGACAGCATGTTGACCTAAAGAGTGTGAAACTTCATATAAATGTAGCATTCCTTGATTAAATGAAAGTCTATGGAGTGTTCTCAACTGTAGCTGACTGTGATATTCAAGCTAACACCATACAATCATAATGATTTTATTTGTATTAATGCAGATAAGCCTTCTCTCCCACGATTATTTGATTATTCTGCACTTATATTTCCTGTAGTGTTTCTAGTAGTTGGTCTTGTTTGGTTGGATAAGAGATGCTTATGCAATTTTGGGTGAATAATCTTAATTCTCTCATCCGTATTTAATTAATTGTATCTTATTTTTTCATAAAAGTTATTCCAAAAAATTGTACCTGATGAAGATACAAACAAATTTGTTGTTGCTAGATAGCCCAACATTTATAGATCCTGTTAGAGCAAATGGATTTGCAAATGCCAGATGGAGAGATTATAGAGATAGACCATTCACATGGCTCACAGGAGTGTTGCTAAATTTATAGTATAAGTAGTGCACAAAATATAGAGAAATCAAAGCACTTACCTTGAGAAGGTACATTGGCCGTCCTTCATATGTTTCCCCAATTACACTTCGAGAAACAAGGTCTGGGTTCTGAGCAGTAATATCCTCAGTCCAAGCAGCTATCTGTTTAATAAGGATATATTTTTAAATAATAGAAATTAATAATTTATTGATGTCTCTGTCCTCAGGTCCAGAGTAACTAGCCAGAAGAGTTTATAGATTTCTAAGAATTAATTCCTACTTAAACTAAAGTTATATATCGTGTTTTTTTTTTTTTTTTTTTTTTTCCTCCAGTGACCGTGGTTCATTGCAGACCTCTCAACCTCTCAAGTTATTGCAATGACTGCCTGAATTAGTATTTTCTGGTATGAATTTATCTAGCACTTCATGTCATTGGAGTCTGGTTGGTGGATTACAAAACCTTTTGAATGCTGACCCTACATAGGATTTAGAGATTATGGTCTTGTCATCCCTTAAACTTACTGCGAGTGCACTCGATCCCCTCATCCAGATCATCGATAAGATATTAAAGAGGACTGGCCCCAGTACTGAACCCCAGGGGACTCCATTAGTGACCGGCCTCCAGCTGGATTTGACTCCATTCACCACAACTCTTTGGGCCCAGCTACCCAGCCAGTTTTCAACCCAATAAAGCATGCGCCGGTCCAAGCCATGAGCAGCCAGTTTCTTGAAGAGAATGTTGTTGGAAACAGTGTCAAAAGCCTTACTGAAGTCAAGATAGACCACATCCACAGCCTTTCCCTCATCCACTAAGCACGTCACTTTGTCATAGAAGGAGATCAGGTTCGTCAAGCAGGACCTGCCTTTCCTAAACCTATGCTGATGGGACCTGATCACCTGGCTGCCCTGTAAGTGCCACGTGATGACACTCAAGTTAATCTGCTCCATGAACTTGCCTGGCACCGAGGTCAAACTGACAGACCTATAGTTCCCTGGGTCTACCCTCCGTCCCTTCTTGTAGATGGGTGTCACGTTTGCTAGCTGGAAGTTGACTGGGACCTCCCCTGATAGCCAGGACTGCTGATAACTGATGGAAAGTGGCTTGGCCAGTTCTTCTGCTAGTTCTCCCAGTACCCTCGGGTGGATCCCATTTGGCCCCATCGAATTGGGTACATCTAAGTGCTGTAGCAGGTCACCAACCATTTCCTCGTGGATTGTGAGGGCCACATCCTGCTCCCTGTCCCTTTCCACCAGCTCAGGGTATGGGATACGGGGTATCCAGACAGCAACTGGTTTTGATGCTAAAGACTGAGGCAAAGAAGGCATTAAGCACCTCAGCCTTTTCATTATCTTTTGTAACTAAGTTTCCACCTACATCCGGTAAAGGATGGAGATTCTCCTTAGTCCTTCTTTTTGTGTTGGTGTATTTGTAAAAACATTTTTTGTTGTCTTTAATGGCAGTAGCCAGATTGAGCTCCAGATGAGCTTTGGGCTTTCTAATTTTGTCCCTGCACAGCCTTACAACATCCTTATAGTCCTCCCGAGTGGCCCATCCTCTTTTCCAAAGAGTATAAAACCTCTTTTTTCTCCTAAGCTGAAGCCACAATTCTCTGTTCAGGCAGGCTGATATTCTTCCCCGCTGGCTTGTCTTTGGGCATGTGGGGATAGACCACTCCTGAGCCATTAAGATTTCCTTCCTGAAGAGTGCCCAGACTTCCTGGACTCCTCTGCCCTTCAGAACCGCCTCCCAAGGGACTCTGCCAACCAGTGTCCTGAACAGTTCAAAGTCAGCCCTCCAGAAGTCCAAGACTGTGGTTTTACTGGTCCCCTTCTTGGCTTCTCCAAGAATGGAGAACTCTACAATTTCATGGTCACTCTGCCCAAGACAGTTTCCAACCCCCACATCTCCCACCAGTCCTTCTCTGTTTGTGAACCGAAGGTCTAGTGGGGCACCTCCACTGTCAGGCTCACTAACCAGCTGCGTCAGGAAGCTATCTTCCACGCTCTCCAGAAACCTCCTAGACTGCTTTCTCTGGGCTGTGTTGTGCTTCCAGGATATGTCAGGGAAGTTGAAGTCCCCCACGAGAACAAGCGCTGATGATTTCGCAACTTCTGTCAGCTACTCTTCATCAGTCTCCTCATCCTGGTTCGGCGGTCTATAACAGACCCCAACCAGGATGCTTGCCTTGTTGGCCTTCCCACTGATCCTAACCCATAGTGACTTAACCTTATGATTCCCAGCCTCAAGTTCCACAGCATCAAAACACTCTCTAATATAGAGAGCCACACCACCACCCCTTCTGTGCTGCCTGTCCCTTCCGAAGTGCCTATAGCCAGACATTGCAGCACTCCAGTCATGAGAGTGGTCCCACCACGTTTCCGTGATGGCAACCAAGTCATAGCCTGCCTGCTGCACGATGGCTTCCAGCTCCTCCTGTTTGTTACCCATGCTGCGTGCATTAGTGTAGATGCACTTCAGTTGGGCCATTGCCTTCTCTCCCAGCCTTACCATTGTTATCCTTGGCACAGCTCTAACAAGCCTTGTTTCAGCCCTGTCCCCCTTCTTACCTAGTTTAAAGCCCTCTAAATGAGCCCCGCCAGCTCCTGGCCTAGGATCTGTTTTCCCCTTAGAGATAGGGACCCGTCTGCAGCCATCAGGCTGGGTGCCGAGTAAAGTGCCCCATTGTCAAAAAAACCCACAAAATTTCTGTGTTGGCACCAGCCTCCGAGCCATGTGTTTATCAGGTGGACTTTCTGTGTCCTCCCTCCCTGCCACCGTAGGGATAGACGAAAACACCACCTGTACTCCCACTCCATCCACTAGCCATCCCAGTCCCCTAAAGTCCTGTTTGATAGTCTTCAGGCTTTTCTCCTCAATGTCATCACTGCCAGCCTGGACTATCAAAAGAGGATAATAGTCAGAGGGGAGAACCAGGTTGGGAAGCTTTCTGGCAATGTCCCTGACCCTGGCCCCAGGAAGGCAGCAGACTTCTCTACAGGTGGGGTCAGGCCAACAAATAGGGCCCTCTGTTCCCCTGAGAAGGGAGTCGCCTACAACAATCACCCTTCTTTCTGTCTTGGTGGAGGTAGTCCTGAGGCGTGGAGTCAACTTCCTTGCCCTAGGCACCCTCCTGGGTAGACCTTCTACCTCTTCTTCACCTACCGGACTCTCAAGCTCCAGGGCCTCAAATCTGTTGTGTAAGGGCACCTGGGAAGGGGAGGCTGGCAGGAGGGGGCTTTGCCTGTGATGTCGAGCTTGTCCTTCAATCTATTCATTATTTAAGGGAAATAACTAGCCTTTATTATTTTAATATTTGAGCAGACTCCCTTTGTACCAGGTGCCTTCAGATGTTCACAAAAAAAGTCATCACATCCATACAAAAAAGCATTTCTACCCAAAGAGTCACAAACTAAGACAGGAAACAGCAGATGGATCTAGACAGACTGGCAAGGGAACATTAGAAATAATAGTCGACACTATGGATGATGGTGTTTTATAACCTTAGCAGAGTCAGAGAAGCTTTTGTTCTTATTTTTAGATATCCTTATAGAAGCAGGATTTAATTAATGAATTATTTTTATGAGAGTTCAGGAGGAGGAAAATTATTTAGTTCTGTATGTATAGTTCTATATATTTCTGTATACATGTAGATCTATAAATATCACCCGGTGAGAAAGCACAAATTTTATTGTTTGAAAATGTAACAGGTAAGCCAAAGATCAGCACAGAAATGAAAAGTTCTTTCAAGGAAAAACAGGAAAGAGATATTCTCATACTTGTGAGTATGCAAGTATGCGAGAATTGCGGGTTGCATACTTGCAACTGTGATGCAATGGATATAAGGAGCCGCTGCAAAGATGTAAAGTGGGGGATGACATGGTCAAGACTATGTGTCAGGAAAAATCAGCATGGCTGTGAAGAAAGGAGGGAGAGGGGAGAGCTTATGGTGGAAGATGAAGATCTACAGTTGTGTCAGGGGATAGAATCAAGTTGTTGCTGAAACACTTTTTAACAGAAGAGATAGGAGAAAGAGGGAAAAGGAAAGTAAATTGGTAGTGAAGCATGTTAGCCTGCCCACTGGATTTCTGCCAGAATTTCCCACAACTCTGGGAGCAGTAGAGAAAATATTTATAGGTTGTGATGGGTTGTGCAGATTAGCTGTGTAATGAGTGAAGGAGAAGAGAGAGAGTTTGGAGAAGGAGTTATCATATTAATGGATGGAACAGAAGAGGAAAAGGGGAGAAGGCTGGAAGAATATCAGAAGCCATTCTGATGGCCAAGTTACCAAGCTGATGAACTTCCACACTTTACCTGTTCCCAGGTGTTGTACTTTTCATAGCTGTGACTGGTGCTACGAGCTTTGCTGTCAAACTGAGCATCCAGTGCAGTCTTCAGGTTGTTGATCAGAACTCTGCAATAAGCCACCATGAAAAGTGGAAATAGAGACATGCACTTTACTAGCAGGAAATCAAGAACCAGTTAGATATTTAAGAATCTGCCCAGAATTAAGGCCATGTTGAATGTGAAGTGAAATATGGGGGCCTGATTTATGGCCCCCATTTGAAAATAACACAGTAGGTTCAAGTTTCAACCTACTTCCTGCCTCATCCTTGCTGACAATGTTTGTGGAGCAATAGCTTCATCCTAACTATTACCTGCCTACTTAATGCCATCCCAGCAAACCTCCAGGGTGCCAACAGTTTGATTTAGGAAGAATGCTGAAACAACAGAATGTAGGAAACCAGCACTGCAACTGAAATCAGCCTTCTTTCCTTCGGACTAATCTCATGTTACCAGATTGCCTCTGCCTTGAGAGGAAAAGAACTCTTTCTTGAATTGTTGGCACTGAAAGACAGACTGCAGCACCATCCTGCAGCAATGCTGAGATGTTTGCCTGATTAATTTCTTTGTTAAACCAAGCTTCCAAAGTTTAGATGCATGTTGCGGGTGGCATGATACATCCTCCAAACTACTTTACTGCTTGTAAGGTGGGCTATTAAAGTAGCAACACACCACAGTAAGAAAAATGCAGCATCCTACTGCATTGGCTGAATTTCTCCTGTTCCTCTTTTCCTGGGGCTTATACAAAGGTATACCTCATCACCGAGCATAGTCTTGAGAACCTTTTGCTAATATCTCAACCTTGACTATCAAGGAAATGAACTTTTCTAATGTTTCCAATGCTTGTCTTAATATTCTTACAAATTTTTACTCGTTCAAGATACATGTATGTCCTTGATCATCTGTGATTTGTATGGAAGAGCAGGAGGCCAGTTTGTGAGGCACCACCAACCTTCAGAACAAACAGTGCAAATGACTACACTGACATTTCCATGGCACTGTAGCTGCACTTCAAAAGAAGTGTAACTGCTTGGATTGTCACAAGGACACTCCACTAAAGTTTGTCAGGGACACCTTCCAGACATTATGGCCCTTTTGCAATCAAAAGATTTGTGCATGGACCTGAGGGAGTTCAATAACGTCATAAGAAAAACTAGCATATGTATAGTAACTCCTCCTTTGGGTAATACTTCTGGGTATTACATTTTGAAATATTTGAGCTTAATTGCTCTTTCTTTGGAGAAATCACTGTCATGGATCTGCTATATGACTTGTGTCCAGTTCTCTTCACTCCCTGGGTCCTTCACCAGCAGCTGTCTTCTTTTTTGTCATCAGTTGTTGTGTTTTTGTCCCTCTAGCTATTGTTTTCTAGCTTAGACAACTCAGTGAGGAGCCTCTCATGAATGCTCTTGGGACTCACCATTTTCTGGCTTTAATTCACTCATAGTATCATGTGAACTTTTCTGATGCGCTTTCTGGCTCTTTCTAGACCTTTGCTGCATTTTGTCTTAATGGTAAGCCCTTTTTGTCCCCAGCGCACTGCAGTGAGCTTTCGCCTTGGGGAAATGTCTGATAGTAAGTCCTTGCTTCTGGTCTCCTACCCCTATCAATATATCACCTTATCCCTTTAATGAAGAGCAGGTACAGTCTGTTTGAACTGCCACAGGAAATCTGAGTGCAGTAGAGGCATCCACAGGAGGCAGAAAGTTTGTGACAGGAAGATGAGTTGACCAATAATGAAAAGATTAAACACATTTTACCCAGTTTTTAATCTCCTCCCACTCAAAATACAGTAGTGAGAACAAACTTACCTATACTCCACTTTGTTTTCCTTCAAAAGATGTTCAACCTCAAAAACCTTGTCAGCTTCAACTCGGAAATCAACTTGCATTTTTGGCTTTACCAGCGTGACATAGTCTGGCTGCCAAAAATCAACCTGAAAGAAGGCCAAACAAATATATGAACTAATAAATACATACATGTGGCTGTGAGTTTTAGGTAAGTGTATGTGTAATAGTTATGTTGACTGTGATTAGTACAACAAATTTAATTCCTGTATTACACTGAATTGGTCTTGCTTGACAGAAATATCGACCTAAGTTTTAAACATAACTTGATTAACAAGATTTTATTTGATCCTCCAATTTATACGGCAGATTTCTGGAAACAGTGGTGACAATTTCACAAATACCAAGTATTAACTTGATTTTTGTGTGTATTCCATTTTTTAACTTTTATGTTACTTAATAGGGACTGCACTGATCTTGCACGGTGTCAAAAATCAGTGCTTAGTTTTCTGACTAGGGATGCTCACACCTATAAAATCCAACTCATTGACTCATTGTAAAGATGATCTTTATATTGCTAGTAGATGTGGCATATAAATTCACAGAAGACCCCAGTCTGAGACTGAACAGTGCAGTGTTAGTGTTGTGCAGATATTGAGCTCCACCTCTGACCAGTTACTAGTTGCAAGTGCATACATTTGTACAGAGTACATGTTTGTACATGCTTGACTCTAAACAGTATACTTTGCTGGAGTAAAGGTTGCTAATCCAAATAAGGGTATTTAAATATACCCTCTCCTTGGTGTCTGAACAAAACATTATCATCTTAGAATTAAAATAATATAAGCAGAGAGCAAGATCTTCTTAATGTTACAATAAATTGGTAATCCCAGTTTAAGACAATTAGAATTTTCTGATAATTGATATAATTTACTTCATTTTATTTTTGTTATTGCCTTCTTTTGTTTAATACTCTTTAATGCTTTGATCATACTAAGTACCTTACCATTCCTTACTTTTGGCTTAGTAGGACAGTTGTAATCTGTTATTTCAAGTGTGCCATAAAGGTGTTCTTGTTTTCAAAATTGAAACAGAAGAAAACAAGTATTGTTGTAAATCAAATGGAAGGTAGCTCTGATATCCATAAGAATATTCTGAACTTCATTTGAAAGAATCTGATGCAAAGGAGAATGGAATTTTAGAACATATGGAACATTGTCTGCTCTGAGTATCCTGAACAGTCTTTTTCTATTACTACAGCATCTGAACACATATGGATTTCTGAATGCTGTGCAAAATTTATGGTTATCTTTATGACTTTTTTCATTCTTTGTACATGTTCTATTTGAGGTGTTCGTATATAAGCATTAGACAGGAATGGCCTCCCAGCTATAGTAGAGGGAGACTATGGCTATTTACATACTTTACATATATCAGCTGGGAAAGACTGTTGCCTGTATAAGTATTTTCAAGACTCATTTCACTGAAGTTGGTATGAGGAGTCTGCCTTTGAAAGATGCTGTTTAGTTCAGAATGGATAAATGACAGTGCTATTACTATTTCAGATATTATTTCAAGATCTCTAGATTAGAGACCTATTAAAAGCCAACAGGAACAAAGCTGTTTTACCATCCTAGTGCCTTTTCAGCCTTTCATCTCCTAAAAGTAAATGAAATTGGGGCTGGTAGGCATATTCAGAAACCATGAAACTTTAAGTGAGATGACTATTCCAGTATATACTGCTACATCACTCCTAAGTGATTGTTTTGTACAATAATGGTAGCTCAGTAATCTTTTCTTTGGTTAAAAGAAAACAATCTCTTTATCCTACAGACTTGGAAGCAAACGTGGTATATTACTTTTCTTAATACTGGCAGCAACATACCAGTAGTATGTTCTTCTATAGAGTACTGGTTCAGCATGCTATACTAGCCTGCTGCTGATAGTTCTCCACATCTGCACTGCATTAAAAATACCATCCTTTCATGCTACAGATAATGGTGTCTTTTTCACCAACAGCTATTTTACAACATCAAAGCTGAAGAGAAATATTGAAAACACATTTGCTGTCTTTATTGTTTTTTCTCATGTCATTATGTCATCGTATATCTACATCAAGGTCACTATGAAAAAATGCAGCTTGGTTTGAGAGAAAGAAAACTTTAAAGCAAAGTCAGTGAAGAAAAGATGACAGGAGAGGCTAGAGGCCAAAGAAAAGTTCAATTTGTTGGGAGCACAGATTTTTAGATTATTTTCATGAACAAAACATTTTGCCTATAATGCTAAAAATTCTTATACTTGGAAGTTGCATGTTTAATCTAATACATTCTTGAAAGAACTCTACAAGGAATATATAATTTCAAATTAACTTATTTAATTAATAAATCCTGGTGGGCACTTTGATGTTCTAGCTGGGTTAACTGGACTTTCTAGGAAGGCATTGGAATGTATTTATGTAACTAGCTTTACCGCCTTGTCTGTTTCTTCTGAAGAAACAGTCCTAATGCGATGAATGGATTAGGCCTTTATTTCAGTAGCATGTTTTTTTTAATTTATTTATTAAATATTCATTAATTGAGGAAAACAAGAAACATTCTTTATGCATGCAATAGAGCTCCTTCCTCAAGTTATTTTACCTGCATTTTGCTGGCAAGGGAATTGATGATTTCCACCTGGCCCTCATTCTGTAGAATCACACGAAACACCATATGGCTGAAAGGAGAAAGAAAGGTAGATTTTAAAAAGGTAGGTCAAATGAAAGTCTTTTAGCTTATGGAGAAGAAGGTCTGCAAATATAAACTCTGTGTCATTACATACCCATCAAAAGCAAGATTGTTCGGATAAGCAGACACAGCTGCAGCACCCAGGAGAACCAAGAAGGCCCACATTATTTCAAAGACGAAAACCACATTTTCAGTTCTTCTAGGCTGCTTTTATAAATTTGTTTTGTCCTCCTTTTTATCAAAAATACACCAGAACAACCCACTAATCAGCTGACTGATTATTCCTTTGGCCATGTTTTATTTGCATACTATTTCTAATGTTTGTTTTAATTCACACCTGTGAAAACAGCTGAAACTCTCAAAGGTGTGGGGGGAGAGTGCTAAGGAATCTCACTACTTGAGCTGAATAAACTTGTGATTTGAGAAACTTAATTTAATTTTGTTCTTTTCTGTTATTTGTGGAATTTTTAATTTATTTATTTTTGTTCAAAATTTGGGTGCTGGATTACAACCTTTATTTACTTTATACTTTTTACTTTTATTTATTTACTGTATTTATTTACTATATTATCACCTTATGTAATGGCAGACATCTATAAGATGTTGTTGCAGTGTGATCAGTCATCTTAATCACACCGCTCTGTCTCTTGTCCCAAATGGACTGGGGCTGACTGACAGAGGAAGAGGAAATACAGCTTGGACGTATGAATCATCCTTTTTTTTCCCAACAAAGGGGAAAGGTACTAAACTTGTTCACTGCTCAATTGCCTCTCTCCAAGTAAATCAGATGTCTGCAGAACTGAAGGTGTAGAAATTTCTAGTCACAGTAGAGTTGTACACGTACTTCACATAATATATTCACTGATTCTTGCATGTTCTCTAATTTAGTCATGTGAGAATCAGAGGTAAACATCTTTAAATTAACTACAGTAGGAATGACCTGTAGGCCAAGATAGTATAAAATGTTGTCACACAAAAACATTTTTATTTTTTCCTTTCATGTTGTGCTTAAAATGTCTGAGAATAGTGGATTTGTATCATGCTAAGTGCTTGCATCTGCTTAATTTTCATTAACTTGTACTTGGCATTAAATGTTACATTAATTGTCTGCTGGTGCTGTGACCTGAGGTGACTGATGTTTTTGAAAGGCAGCCCCTAAAAGAATCAGTGTATAAATATATAAAAAATGAAAATTGAGCTCAATTCTGTTACACCTAAGAGACCTGGTAGATTCCAGGGTTTCAGACACAGACAATCTTGAAGATGTTTTCTGACACCATGTCTGCTATTTTGCAGGAATCTGCATATATGTGTTTAATATAATGTGTGGAAATGAAATATATTAGTCTCAGAATAAAAGATATAGTGACAGTTTCAAAGTGCAGAAAGTTGTATTGTTGATGACCATTTTAAGGATGACTGTGGCATCAGACACTGCACTTTTAAAATGAGGTTCTCTGGAGTCAGCTCAGTAAAGCTGCAGCAGCCTAATATACAGAGTATCCAATAAAAACGCTTTAAAAATCAATGTACCAAAAATGCAGCAGTTCATACTTAACAATATGACCCATGATAAATATGTTCTTAAAAGGAGATTCCAAAACTACTGAACCTGCTTATTCAAAAGCTGTGTTTGCCAAATCATACAGTTTGAACTTACTTTACAATTAATGACCTAATTTGTAGCACTGCAGGCTCTTGCCCTGCAATAATCTTAGTGAAGTCTCTAAGAAGGATGACAGCAGGAGTTATTCTGACAGAATGCCAAAACAATACTGCAAAGTCTTCAGAAACTTCAGTTTAAAGTTGATGAGATCTACGGAATTAGATAAAATGGTCTGGTCCCATGAACACTGCAACAACAATAATGTGAAGCTGATCAAGCCCAGATCTTGCAATGAATAAATGATCATAAGAAGTAATCAAACAAATGTCAACATTCCCTGTTGAGCACTGAGAAACATCTTGGAAATAGAAGACTGCCAGATTTCAATGTCTGAGTTTACTTTTAAGATTTATATTTTTTTCATGCAGTTGGAGATATATATATACATATATATATATATATATATATATATTTTTTTTTTTTTTTTTTCCTTTTTCCAGTCACTGACACAGCATTAGTGCCATAAGCTACTGAGCTGGTGAGCTGGTAAGAATTTCTGAATATTATAATTTCTGATGACAGTCTTTTCTGTTTCCATCACAGACTAGGTCAAAAAGGAATCAACCAAACAATGACCTGGAATATTATTTAAATTTTTCATTTTGCATCTCAGGATTGATGGTTAACTGTTAGATGAGCTCATAAACTAGCTCTAAGCACTGTTTTTTTTTTGTTTTTTTTTTTTTTTTTTCTTCCCAACTGTATAATATTTGTATGATAAAGATATGATAAAGAAGTGATTTCTTCAGTTTTAGGAATAAAAATACTCTGGTATTCCACTTGAAAAACTTATGAAGGTTAAGTGCAAACTGATAAAAGGAAAAAATATGCATCAGGGTTACCATTTCAGAAGCATCCTTTAAAGAAGCATTCTATTAAAGCCTTTCATCCCATTTGTTGTCAAACTGAGTCCAAAAGTCTGATGCTAAACAATACCTCTTTTTCTAGGAATTCTCAATATTTATAGATATCATGAATCAGATAGTTTGTTGACCTATTAAAAAAAAAAAAAAAAGAAAAGAAAAAGTCTACTATCTTTTAGTCACAAAATATTGCCAGTTTTTATAATCTTGGACTGACAAATTTGCCTTCTTAATACTGTTTGATATTTATTAATTTCCAAAGCATCAGTGAGAAACTTCTCGATGCCCAAATCATAACCCTGTTTATGTATGTCTTCACAGAATCACAGAATCATCTAGGTCTCGATGTCATGTAGCAAAATCCTAGCATGTGCTCCAGACCAGCCACATGTGTTTGAATTATGGGGACCCTCTCACCACCATTATTTAGTAATATGTTTTTATGGCTAATATTAGTTTTGAAGAGTGACATTATTGAATATATTCTGAAGACCTCTGAGAGTACTTTGAAGATGCTGGGATCAGCAGAATCACTACTCCAAACTTTGCTGGTATTTTCTTTGTATTTATATATTATTTATATAAATAAACATTCGTATTTATATTTATATATGTATATATAATTTATATTATTTATATATTTATTTTATGTATTTATATATTATTAATATTGCATCTTGTAATTCATCAAAGGATTTTTCAACTTGTGTGCCTTCGGACATGCTTATAGCCTACTGTTTTGGTAGCTATGTGTAGGTATCTTCTCCCTCACCCCAATTATACATGTAGATGCAGTTTAACATGTGAGCAGGAACTGGGAGAGGGAAGAGTGAGAGTGATGAGGTCTAGGCTAGGGACCACAGAGGTAGGTCTCATGACTTAGGAGTGTTTATACTTCTGCTATTGACTCATCAGGTGAGAAACAAAATGTGTAATTGTTATTTTGCAGGGTCAGTGGATTCTTGCAGGGTACCTCCTGTGGGATTTTTTTTTACCATTGTTTAGGATTAAGAGTGAATGTATTCCAGCTTTATCATATGACCACTGAATGAATGGCTTAGCGTTCAGAAAATATTTTATATCCTTAGCTAGAGGATGTTTGTGCATACTATTTGAATTCCTACATGCTTGAAAAGAGTGTGAAATATACTGAAATATAAGCAATGTATTGGCAGTGCCAGAATTCCCTGAAGCCAAGCACCAAGAATCTAACTGTTTAGTGCCAAGCAGAAAAAAGACATTTAACGAAGCATTTAGGACTAACCTCACAGCCATTTGTTATGGATGTCTTCTGTTTAACTACCTTGTCCTTGGGATGCCATGTACAAGGCTGTGGTGGATTCTCATACTCGAGCATACTCTGGCATCTGTAAGACTGGCTGCATCATGGCAGGACTCAGCAACAGCTCAAAGGTCCAAAAAACTTAAGGTCCCTCCCCTTAAAATTCTTAAGGCATTGAAATCATCACGTGGCGTGTAGTGAGACATCATGCCTATACTGAACAGATCATAATCTAAAAAAGTACAAGAATAACCAGACACTCAGCACCTTACTGATAGGAACCAGGTCTTTCAACTTCTTGCTGTATCTGATGAGTTTCTTTTCTGGTGTGGATCAGCACACCATTTACACCTATATAATGTTTCCATCAATGCCAGAACCAGATGCTGCTGAAGTGGGTGCTAGAGCTATACTGTAAGGAGATACAAGAGTATCTGCCCACTGCTGACATCTCTCCAGGATATCTAATATGGGTTGTTAGCACATTGTCTTTCTCAGTATTCCTCAGTTCCAATTCTGGGCTCCACAGGGGACTGAGGGTAAATCAGGCTGTCAGTGTGCAATCATCCACTTCCAGTTTTAACATATGGATTTAGACAGGCAGACGAATCTCCATTTCATCTCATTAAATGTGATCCAGATAGTGATGTTGTATTGGAGCTAACACAGCACAGCAGGGTGACCATGAGTGGGAGTAAAGAGAGATTAAATGTAACGGAAGAGTCTAGGCTGCATCAAAAACACCAGCAAGATAGGTTCAAGGAAGAGAGTGGACTGAGTGCAATGGCTCTATTCCACACTGAGGCTTAACTGAAATTCCTTTTTACAGCTTGCTGAGTAATTTACTGTTCTGTTTTGTTATTTGTGTGTATTGTCCTTCGTGGATGAGGTAAATCATGAACATTCTTCTCCTGTATAGCTTGTTTGTGATCTTGATAATGTTTGTTTGTGACTTGATAATGTTTGAAGCTTGTTTGTGACTTGATAATGTTTGAAGCTCAGCACTTAGATACATTACCTTCAGCTCTGAATGATTTTGAAATCTGGTGCCCTTTGCTGAAAGGCAGGTTGTATCAACCACTGCTAGACCTGGGAAAAGGTCAGGGAGTTCTACCATTTCAGAAAAACAAGACTGTAGAAATGAACAAATTTTCTTAGTCTGCATTTAGTGAAGAAAGATAAATTTACAAGCTTCAGAAGAAAGTGGAACTCCACTGAAAGCAAGGAGGCTTCAGCTAATTATCTGTCTTCAGTAAAATAAGTTCCCTCTTCTTTTTTACCACCAGAGCTTGGAGATAATTTGGTGGTGTCATATTGTTAAACATACAGACTAACAAAGAAAAAACTATGAAACCAAAAAGATAGATCAAGTGTTACAAATTAGGTATTCTGTACACCAATTTGCTCATTTAATAATATGTTCCCTTTCAAAAGACTCATGGTTCTTAGTTGATAAGAAATGTTCATAAAACTCTTCCCAAAGCAACTTGTTTGACTAATAATATATACTGGGATGTCATTATTAAAACACGTTAGTTGCAAAAATCATAGCGATAGCTCGTTCACTTTAAGTGTACGGGGTAGTAAATTAATCTGAACAAATTAATCTTGGCACTGTTTGTTCTTCTGTGAATATGTAAGTAAACAAAGCTCAAATTTAGAGGAGACCCTGTCTGATTTAGGCATTTTTATTAGCTATTTGTGAGATAGGAAAAAATAATGAAATCAAATTCATGCTACTGAAGTGTGTGGAACCAAATCTGATTGAGGCATGGATTTCTGTCTAGACGAAAAAGCTCCTTTTATTCACAGAAATAAGTCAATGGCTAAAGACAAAACTGGGCTTCTCAAGAATGAATAATTTACTATTTTTCAGTAACTGGTAGACTTCACAGCATAAAGAAAAAAACATATGGAGTGCAAACAATTTTCTCATGTAGACACAGTGTAATCTTATTTTCATGAATTTGTCTGGAAATTAATTCAGTCATGCAATTCTGCTAAATTTGTATGAAAGTGGTCTTGTCAAGGAAAAGAAGCAAGCTGTGGAACATAAAACAGCAATGTTCCTGGGAAATACGTTGGTCTATACATGTAGAAATGTTTAGGCATTAGAGATGATAAGATAGTGGCTTTAAATTCGGTGTCCAGATTCTGCTGTATTATGCTCATGCAAGTCTGTATCATTAAATTGAATTGTTCTTCCCCTCTTCCCAACCCCCCTTTTTTTTAATGGTGGAGTATAATTGAAACAATATTATTTTTACCAACTTGGTTAGAAGCAGTTTATAAAACTCTACATTGTAATACAGCTATCCCAAACACTGGGACTATGCAGGTCCAATTTCGGACAGAGGCTTTTTGCTACTAATTTATGGCTGCTTCTTACTTGTGTTTCTCTGCACTTCCCACTCTCCAACCCTGAAATCACATCTGCTGGGAAGGGGTGAGGGAGGAGAGAGAGAGACCATGCTTTGATCTGCTACCTCCTGAAACATCACATCTACCTGAAATCCTTATATTTTATGTGAATTATTTAAACTTTTTCTCAAAAAAGATACATTTTGATGTGGAAATGTTGCTGTAGTACTTCATGGAAGTAGTTCAGAAGGGAGTTGACTAAAAGCACTTCTGGAATTTTACCTAGGTCCAAGGGGACAATAAGATCTGCTTTTCCTTATCCTATCATTGTGATCTGATTTCCATTTTGAATGGAAAAATCCTATAAAGATTCATTGGTCCTGCTGTGCAGAGCTTCATGATATTTAAAAGAAGAGTAGATTTATAGGCTTTCTAAGATTTTTTACAGATGGGAAGTTTGCATTTGTCTTCAAGGTGAGTTATAGTTCATACTTTTCTTCTTGTAGAATTTGTAGGAGCCTGTTGGGATGGTGACATTTCCAAACCTGTATAATACCTCTGTGCTAATAAATGGAGCACGGAGCTGCGATGCCTAATATTTCAGGCTTTTGAGCTCATGAGTCTATGTGGCACAGGTCAAAGCACTGCAATTTTGATGCAAACTTGCTGTAGGGTTTTCCGCAGATTCAGGGTAAATTAATATGCCTGTTGAAACTGGTATATTAAAGGTTGCTGTAATATGCTCAGCATTTCCATTATATGGTGTGGAAGAAATGAGAAAATTACTTTGGCTTAAAGCTTTACTGTCAGCAAAATGAGGACATCTGGGCTGGAAATACACATGTGTGTGTGTGTATTTGTATACATATATATGTATATATATATATATATATGAAACATCTTTTGTAAGACTTGGCATCAATGTAGTTCAAATTGGGTGGCAAAGCAGTTGGCTGCAACACATGGACCAGAAAAGCTAGGAATAGTCTCTAAAAACTGAAGCTGCTTGAGTTTCAGCTGTTTTTTCTTTTTCACCTGGCTGATCAGATGTAAAACACAGATAAGAAATTCAGAAGGTGTAGTAAGAAGTGGGAATCCAGGCTGAGAATAAGAACTGAGACTGAGATGAGGACAGCTCATCCTGCATCTTCTTTATCAGCAAATTTTCAGTTCATTAGGGGATGCAGTTCTGTCTAAAAAAATGTGGTTGTCATTAGTTAGGGATTTGTATTTGCATGCTCAGATACCCTGCAAGTTGTACGTGCTCACATTTACTTGCTGTATAAGTATTATTTAAATAAATACTCCCTGTTGCCAGAACATAGTAAAAGCTGGAAAAAATGTAATTTATAGACACAGGATGTTCTATGTACACAAAAATTTGGCCTTGTATCTATTTCCCCTGATGTTCTGGATTAATATATGCCTCAAGATCAGGAGCTGTGTAATGCAGTGACCCAGCTGGAACAGGGTCTCTGTGCTTCCAAACCAGCCTTTTTCCTTGCTTTCTCAAGCATCACACTGTGTTATCTCTTTTACAAACATATCAAGTGCCACCTTAAGTCTGTTTAGTTTGTTGCTCCCTCTGCTCCCATAAGAAAACTTCCTGATCATCCCTCTTCTGATGTTTGGAAACTGCCTTTTAATTAATAATCTGAATTTGTTTGTGATAAGCTGATACTCAATTATTCATGTACCAGCACTATCCCTTAGCTTAAGAAGGGCTTCATTTTCCTTTCTGTGATGTTTTGAGGAATAATCCTATCACCTTAGATAATCCTATCACCTTAGAACACCTTAGATTTTGCTAGACAAAGTACTTGATGGATTAAACAAGCTTTTGTTTAAACCAGGCACACGCTCTGTTCCTTACTGTCTTGCTCTGTGTTGTTTCAGTCTCAACTTTTCTTCTAACCATGGCTTACCAGACAAGTGTTTTGGAAAAGGAATCAATAGAAACTTTGCTTTTAGCATCAGTATTTTCCTAACTCTTGACAACTCTTCATGTCACACATTGTAGCACTGCAGTGGCTTTCCCAAAATGGCATTGCATCAGAAGTTTATGATCAGCTTGTTTTTGACCACAACTGAAACAAGCATGTTTCTGCAGAACAACAGCATCTTGAACATCTGTTAGAGAATGTGTAGAGCTAAGTGTTTTAGTCAATCTTTTTTTTTTTTTCTTTTTTTTTTTTTTCCTCCTAGTCAGATGACACTATGAATAACTCATTATTTCAAAAATGCCACTGGTCACTTGTAACTTCCATTTTAAAATCACATGGACAAACACAAAAGATTCTGTAGATGTTGGACTTAGGCTTGAGAATTTAAATGCAATCCCACCAAAACATTCAAAATTATCATAGCCAAATGACAGCAACAGGTCTGCAGTATTTTTTTTCTCAAATACTTATGTAAAAGCATGCATATATTTCTATTTCTTTATGGAAGGGGAAAAAGATATAGTATTTGTAGGGAATTTATTATTATTGTTTTCAGTTTACATTCTAAGCTTCAAAGTTGCATGAAAGACACAATTCGTTTAGTTTACTGGCACATGAAGTTTGTAAATTAGCAAGCAGTAATCCGAAGAATGAAAAGTATCTATTACTAAAGACAAGAGCCTTAGTTTCTGCACCGTAGCAAATGTGGAAATACTTCTGGATAAACTTAATAACTTTATGTAGAACAAAAGATGAATGATTTTTTTCCATCAACTCTTTCTCCTTCATTACATTCTAGAGTGCCATTCTAACATCCAAAATAATTAAAACTGAAATCTTTTTAACTGTCATATTACACCAAATTCTGTAGCACTAACTCTGAATATCATGTTTGTCTTTTCATAACTGTGAAAGAAAAGAAATAACAGCTTGCTTGTTCCTCTCACTCACCTACTAAGTAAACAAATTCTGGTTTAGTCATGCTGCTGCAGACACACAGGAATGTGAGGGTGAAGCTCCTCACTGAAATGGCTGTTTTACTGCTGCTTCATCTCTGGGACCAAAGAATCGTAGAAAATATTGGGAATATAAGTCTGGGATACCTCTGATTTCCAATCTACTAACAGCAGCAAAATGAAAACTGGAGACGTTGAATGATAATAAAACAACTGAGTTGGTATAAACTCGACCGATGGAGCTCTCATGTAGAACATATTGTGTCTACAATGTTACAGGTCATTTCCTTCGCCTTTCTCTATAAACATGTTTTTCAAATTGGTTTCAAGTGGGTCCAGCTACTTCAAGCACAATATATTGAAAGCATGTTAATATGACAGATAACTAGCAGCTGTTGTTGGAAAATTGACAAAGCAAAGGATAGATGTTGCTTTGGAGGATGAACTTGTGCTTTCAGGCACAACATCTTCCTCAGTATTTTGCTTCTCTATGAATTTTTCTTTGCAAAGGCTGGGCCAGTGACACAGAGGCCACATTCTTTACAGATATAACTCTAGCAAATGTAGCCATGCCTTATAAGAAACAGATATATGGAGGGACTTATCAAGGCAATGAATGAGAGAAACAAGTGTTCTCTCTATTAAATTGCTCCCTCTATTAAAACTATTGAAGATTTTGTATTGAAGATTTGTAGATAGTGTATATAGCAACACAAATGCTCTTGACTGAATTTGTTCCAGAGGTGATCTAATCAATTTAATCATATACTATTTTCTATCTCTTCAATTCAGATTTTTATTTATTTATTTTTTTATTAAGTATAGTTTGGCTAAAACATGGGAAAGCAATACTTTCCTGTAACTTTTCTGTCTAGAAAGAAATACCATTTTTTCTTTCTAACCATTATTCATTTTTGTCTAAAACACTGTATGCATGGCTTGAGAAGGAGAGAAAAAAAATACAAACAATTTAACTGGCAATATTATTTACTTATTCTGTATTTAAATCTATTGGGTCACATAGTGCTTCAGGTTTATTGCTGTTATGATCCTGCAAGTTTCACACAATTCACATTGCCTGTAGATGCCAAATACTGTACAGTTTCCTTAATAATAGAGACTAAACACATGTATTCTTTGATCTACTTCACAGCTTCAAAGTTTAAAATGCAGTCTGAGAGCTTTCCATGGGATTTCAAAAAACTGTTATTGAGAAAACTAATTATGAAAGTAGTAATTTTCTCACTGATGCTATTTTTCTGTAACTGAGATCTAGGAGGTAAGAGTGTTATGTTTCTTTATTATTTTTTCCACAGTGTAATCTACAAGGACTTTTAATTTATATAATTTTTCTGTTGTAATTCATTCTTCCTGGAGGAACCACATTCAAGAAGGCTAGGAGACTGCAAGAACACAAACTATGTAAGCATGTATAAGCAGTCTGACAAGCACAAAACATTAAAAAATGAAAACAAAAACAGAAATCTGCATTTCAAATACACTTGCATCAGGAGTTCTTGTGTTTGTTTCTGGAATAGGCCACATGATTAGAGAAAGATTGCCTGTTCCACCCATTCAGAAATTGTGCTGACCTTCATTCCTTTACTGATTTTCACAGAATCACAGAATTGTCTAGGTTGGAAGAGACCTCAAGATCATCGAGTCCAACCTCTGACCTAACACTAACAAGTCAACCACTAAACCATATTGCTAAGTTCAACATCTAAACGTCTTTTAAAGACCTCCAGGGATGGTGACTGAACAACTTCCCTGGGCAGCCCATTCCAATGCCTAACAACCCTTTTAGTAAAGAAGTTCTTCCTAAAATCCAACCTAAAACACCCCTGGCACAACTTTAGCCTGTTACCCCTCGTCCTGTTGCCAGGCACATGGGAGAATATACCAACCCCCACCTCGCTACAGCCTCCTTTAATGTACTTAATAGAGAGCAATATGGTTGCCCCTGAACCTCCGCTTCTCCAGACTGAACAATCCCAGCTCCCTCGTAGGACTTGTTCTCCAGACCCCTCACCAGCTTTGTTGCCCTTCTCTGGACTCTTTCGAGCACCTCGATGTCCTTCTTGTAGCGAGGGGCCCAAAACTGAACACAGTACTTGAGGTGCGGCCTCACTGGAGCTGA